CTCTTTGTGTTCACCTGAAACAAAGCAGGGAGATATAGAGTTGTCAGTGTCCCCAGTGTGAGCCTGGATTTTGACTGGGGTTCTGACTCTCACACAAAAACCTCCCTACCTAGAATGGAGGATCTCATTTCTTTTTCTGCTGGTCTGACATAACCCAGAGTCTGAAGGCAGACAATCCAGACTGCTTCAAAACACTTTTCCAGCAGATAACGAGGTCTCTCATCTCTTTACTTGTTAACAACCCATTTGAGTTTAACAGCAGGGAAAGCTGGTGGGCATTGAAACGGAAAAAAAGAAACAAAAACCCTCAGGCAGAAAAAAGGAAACAGATAAAAAAAGAATGCTGTAAGAAAGAAACAAGTAATTCTCTTCCTTGGTTGTGTCTTTGTGTGGTTTTGGTATCAGATTAACAGTAGCTTCATAAAAGGAGTTCGGCAATGACTCTTCTGTTTCTATATTGTGAAATACATTAAGGAGTATAGGTATTAGCTCTTCCTGGAAGTTCTGGTAGAATTCTGCATTGAAACCATCTGGTCCTGGGCTTTTTTTGGTAGGGAGATTTTTGATAACAGCTTCTAATTCTTCGCGACTAACAGGTCTATTTAGATTGTTCACCTGGTCTTGGTTCAACTTTGGTATATGGTACTTATCTAAAAAAAATGTCCATTTCTTTTACATTTTCCAATTTTGTGGCATAAAGGCTTTTGTAGTAAGATCTAATGATTCTCTGAATTTCCTGTGTGTCTGTGGTTATGTCCCCTTTTTCATTTCTGATCTTATAAATTTGCATGTTCTCTCTCTGCCATTTGATTGGTTTGGATAGGGGTTTGTCTATCTTGTTGATTTTCTCCAAGAACCAGCTTTTTGTTTCATTCATTCTTTGGATTGTTTTCTGTGTTTCTATTTTGTTGATTTCAGCCCTCAGTTTGATTATTTCCAGTCTTCTACTCCTCCTGGGTGAATCTGCTTCTTTTTTTTTTCTAGAGCTTTCAGGTGTGCTGTTAAGTCTTCAATGTGTGCTTTCTCCTTTTTCTTTAATTGGGCACTTAGTGCTATGAACTTTCCTCTTAGCACTGCTTTCATAGTGTCCCATAGGTTTGAGTATGTTGTGTCTTTATTTTCATTAAATTCAAGGAAGACTTTAATTTCTTTCTTTATTTCTTCCTTGACCCAGGGGTGATTCAGTAGTTGACTGTTCAGCCTCCATGAGTTTGTTGGCTTCCTGGGGGTAGCTACAGTTACTCTGATACTGAAGAGAGAAGTCGACCTATGGAATCGAATAGAAGACCCAGATATTAACCCACAAACCTATGAACACTTGATTTTCGACAAGGGAGCTAAAGGTATGCAATGGAAGAAGGAAAGCATCTTTAACAAATGGTGCTGGCATAACTGGATGTCAAGCTGTAGAAGAATGAAAGTAGATCCATATCTATCACCATGCACAAAACTCAAGTCCAAATGAATTAAAGACCTCAACATTAATCTGACCACTTTGAACCTGATAGAAGAGAAAGTAGGAAGTAGTCTACAAGACATAGGCACAGGAGACCACTTCCTAGGTAGAACCCCAGTAGCACAGACAATAAGAGAAACAATGAATAAATGGGACCTCCTGAAACTGAGAAGCTTCTGTAAAGCAAAGGACGCCATCAGTAAGACAAAAAGGCTACCTTCTGACTGGGAGAAGATCTTCACCAACCCCTCATCAGATAAAGGCCTGATCTTCAAAATATACAAAGAACTCAAGAAACTAGACACTAAAACTCTAATTAACCCAATTAAAAAATGGGGTGCTGATCTGAACAGAGAATTCTCAACAGAAGAACTTCGAATGGCCAAAAGACACTTAAGGTCATGCTCAACATCCTTAGCGATCAGGGAAATGCAAATCAAAACAACTATGAGATACCATTTTACACCGGTCAGATTAGCTAAAGTCAAAAACACCAATGATAGCCTATCCTGGAGAGGATGTGGAGAGAGGGGAACTCTCATCCACTGTTGGTGGGAATGCAAACTTGTGCAGCCACTGTGGAAATCAGTGTGGCGGTTTCTCAGAAAACTGGGAGTCAACCTCCCTCAAGACCCAGCAATTCCACTCTTGGGAATATACCCAAGAGATGCCCTAACATACCACAAAAGCATTTGTTCAACTATGTTCATAGCAGCACTATTTGTAATAGCCAGAACCTGCAAACAACCTAGGTGCCCCTCAATAGAAGAATGGTTAAAGAAGGTGTGGAACATATATACATTAGAGTTTTACTCAGCAGTAAAAAACAATGACATCTTGAATTTTGCATGCAAATGGAAGGAAATAGAAAACGCTTTACTGAGTGAAGTAACCCAGACCCAAAAGAGGAATATGGTATGTACTCACTCATAAGTGGATTCTAGCCTTAATTAAAGGTCTTTGAGCCTATAATTCGTGATCCTAGAGAAGCTAAATAAGACGGTGAACCTGAGGAAAATCATATAGTTATCCTCCTGGATATTGGAATTAGACAAGATTGCCAGGCAAACTTGGGTGCAAGGGGCGTGGGGCATGGAAGTAAGGGGAGATGGTTGGAGAGAAGGGAGAGGGGGAGGATTGGGGATGGCTTGGGGGAATGGGATGGGGGGAGAAAGGAAGGATGGATGTGGGAGCGGGGAGGTGTGTATCTCAACTAAGGGAGTCATTTTGGGGTTTGCAAGAGACTTTATTCTGGAGTGGTTCCCAGGCCCAAGGAGTGGTTCCTAGATTGTTCCCTGGGCAGCGGAGGAGAGGGTGCCTGAACTGGCCTTAGCCCATAACCATATTGATGAATCTTTTGCATATCACCATAGAACCTTCATCTGGCGATGGATGGAGATAGAGACACAGACACACATTGGAACACTGGACTTAACTCCCTAGGTCCAAATGAGAAGCAGATGGAGGGAGAGCATGACCAAGGGAGGCAGGAGAGGAGGGAACCTTCATCCGACGATGGATGGAGATGGAGACGGAGACCCACCCTGGAGCACTGGACTGAGCCCCCAAGGTCCAAATGAGGAGCGGAAGGAGGGAGAACATGAAAAAGGAAGTCAAGACCTCGAGGGGTGCGTTCACCCACTGATACAAGGGGAGTGGTCTGGTGGGAGCTCACCAGGGCCTGCTGGACTGGGACTTGAAGGAGCGTCTGATTGGGCTAGATTCTCTGAATGTGGCTGACATGGGGGTTGACTGGGAGGCCATTGACAATGGCGCTGGGTCTTGTTTCGTCTGCATGTGCTGGCTTTCTGGGATCCTGGTCTGTTTGGATGCTCACCTTCCTGGACCTGGAGAGGGGGGGAGGAGCTTGGACTTCTAGCGGGGCAAGAGGCCCTGACTGCTCTTGGAACTGGAGAGGGAGGAGGGGAGGAAGTGGGGGGAGTGGGAGGGTATTGGGAGGAGGGGAGGAAGTGGGGGGAGTGGGAGGGTATTGGGAGGAGGGAAGTGAAAATTTTTTATAAATAAATGAATAAATAAAAAAAACTAATGAACAACAACAAGAAAAGAAAGAAACAAGTAGAGCTGGACTTAAGGCTGTGGATTGGGTGGTGGGATTAGCAACTGATCGTTGGAGCAATAGTACAAGTAATATTTGTGAAGTGGAACAGCAGAGACAAAGAACGACTAGAAATATGCAAAACCAAGAAAACCCGAAGTGAATAGTCTTCAAAAATTATTAGTAGTTGTGATGTGTTTCATGTAGAAATATTTATCTATTAAAAATTAAAATATTTGTATGTTTGGGGAAGTCTTCACACAAGGTGCTGTCAACATTTTTCTTATTATTTCAATGATACCACTGAGAAGTAAAATATACCTACTCCAGTGATGAATTTGCTGCCTGGAAAAAAAGAGGTCAAGAGAAATATATGTTTTGCCTGTAAGAATTTCTTTATTTAAGAAATGAATAGGAGATAAAAATTGGGGTGTTTTTAGAAAACTTGTTAGGCCTTTTTTCTTCATCCATTTGACAAATGTATATACGATTCAGTGTCAGCTTTGGATTTAAGAATGAACAGAAGAGATAAGAAATCTTGGTATAAAATTTTAGTAAAGAATGGGAGACTATGAACATTTTCTTAAAATGCAAATAATTATTGCGCTAAAAATTCAAGATTCTAACACAGTGCATTTGTGAAAAGCCTATAAACAATGCAGCTCTGAATAAGAACACAGGTGAACACAAGCAAATGCCCCGGGGGTGCTCCCAGCCAGTCCTAAAGAACAAACCATCCACATCATCCTAGGGGTTGAGTGTACCTCCATCTCTCCGATCTTTCAGAAGGACTTGGGTTATACATTAAAACTATCTCTGAAGAGTCCTAATTTGGGGACATGAAATGAGACATATGATATAAATGACAGCACTTTTCATTTTAGCCTGACATCTTTCTCCTCATCCTCCCTTTCATGAGAAGTATCACCTTATTAGCAAAGAGTGAATTTACGTCCCCATAAACTCCCTCTGATCCAGTGAGTCACCATGGGCCCCAGGTGATGCTTCCCCTTAACTAGTATGCACGCCTTTCCTACTCTGCCCTATGTTGGCTCCATTACTTACTGTTTCTAGAGACTCTAATCATTTTCAGTGTTTCAATATTCCCCTGACAATCTTCTCTTCACATGTTTCCAATTGTTCTCCATAAAGAGAAAGGTTAAAATTTTCAATTACACTCTTTTAATGACTCAAAACTACTCAGTGAACAAAATCCAAGTTTTATGGAATGGTTGAGTAAAGTTATATGCTATGATCTTTTTGGCATTTCTCTTAGAGAATCCCTCTAATCTTGCAGCACTCTGAAATTCATCCTTAAGTCAACCTTCGTTTTTCATCTGTGGGACCCTTTTTTCTACTCCTTTCTATAACTAGGATGTCTCTTGGTTCCTCTTGTTTCTAGTCCGGTCCAGGTGATGAGTGTATTTTTTTTTCATTCCACATCCAACCCACCTATTTGCTTTGTGTCATTATATTGCCATGTGCTTTCTCAATAGAACATGTTATCCTTTGGATACATTTCGTACTTGTATGTCTTCCTCGTATGTGTCCGCATACATTCTCAGGACACAGAGATTTTCTTGAACCTCCAAGAAATTCGGAGCATGCCTGCACTTGAAAAGAAAAAAAAAACAATGAATGTATGGATGGATGAACAAAAATGATCTTATCAGGAAGTATATCCAATTACTTAAGGAATTGCTTAAGGAATGCAGGGTGAGTCTACCACTTGTTGCCAAAGTAGTGGGGAGATATAATTACATAATGTTCATTTGTTGCATGATTTATTTTGTAAACATGAAAGTGCTTAATCACTGTCTTGATATACTTTAGGTTGCTTTTCAATCACTTAGGAATAATTTTAAGTTCATATTTTTCATTTGTGCACAACCAAATATTTGGAAATTACTTGGGGTGGGTATTTGTCCAGTTATAAACTCTTTGCATTTGTTGAGGTCATTTTGTTTTTATTTGGCATAAATAACATTACAGTCTGGTAGTTTTATGAGAATACCATAAAATACTGTGTGAGTAGACTCTGTGGTGTGAAAGGCTCACCTAATAAACTTGGCAAAGTGACACATACCCCTGACTAGGGAATTTTCAGAAAAGTATTCAGAAAAATAAACAAGTGAGAAGTATTATAGGATGTTACATACTTGTGCCCTTCTCATAGATGTTGGTGTATGTGTGTGTTACTGAAAAAAATAATAATGAGAATAAAAGATTTACCTTCAGGTAAAAAAATATCTATGAATGAATCATTTAGAGATTCCAGATGCTTAAATGCCACATTTAGAGCAGCAACTAAAAAAATTGCTTTCAAAAAGCACTGTTTGCCTTTGATTTATGCCTCAGAATAATTCTAACATTGAAAAAAAATATATCCTTGACAATTACCTGAATAACAGGAAAAAATTCGTGTGTGGTTAATTGTCAGGTGAGAGGAATATAATGGTGTAAGCAGCTTTTTAAAATAGTATTTTTCTCTTCTGTGCTTTCAGGTTCAAAGTGATATCACCTGGGTTGGGAAGCACTGATTTTGACTTGTTTTAAATTCAAGAACCTCATCCATATAGAACTGGGAATTGCCAGGATACTAATACCTGCATTTTTATGACACATCCTAAAGTCAATAGGAAAGAGGTTTCTGAATAAAAGCCTTAAAATTACCTTATGAATTATTAATTACAGGGCATATTACCTTTGAATTATAAAAGCCCGGTAAAATGGAAAGAAGAATTGAAAAACATCAACCTCAAGCTCTTTAAAAATGTAATACCAATCATTTGAGCACTGCAAAAATCTTTTATTAAAGATAAAAAGGAGGTTATACGTATTTTATTAACTGGAGGATATGTTCAATCCACATGATTAAAAATCTCATTACTAACTCAACTCAGGGACATGATTTATTACTGAAACAGAATGGGAGGCATTCGGTTGTCCACAGCAGCATTTATCAGAAGCATAACTATCAGTTTGTATCTATTTTAACATACTTAATATTTTTAAAGGTGGCATTGCCATCTGTTTGAGGAATTGAAGATATTTTTTTCCCTAGTGTTGGCAAAGTACATTAAAGCAAAAACATTATCTGTTTTCCGTTTAGCTTCAAGCTCTAAGTTTTAGAAGTGAAGAAGGAATCTGGGCTTTAATGAAGTTAAGTTTTCCAATGTAAAGGGAGGAAAGGGAGCATATGACAGTTCCTTACCTTAAGATAGAGACAGAGGATCAGGAGTTCAAAGCTAGCCTTGGCTACTTAGCAAGTTCTAGGTCAGCTGGCTCAAGGAAACACTCTGTCTCAAGTAAATAAATATTTTAAAATGTTATATTTTGTAGACATTTTAAATGATACTTTTATTTTATAAAAGGATAATGTCATGGGTATATGCAATTGAAGAGAAATTGTTGCCTTTTAAATGTTTTGACTTTATGACTGTTACCATTCTGCTTTGAAGAGTGATTACAATAATTACTTTCTTAAGAATTTTATATTCTCTCAAGTTTTAAATGAACATCTAAATTTGTATAGTTAGAAAACAGCACGGTATTATTGACTTAATTGTTCAATATTCTTGCTTATTTGTTCTTATCAAGCAAATTATCACGTGGATGACAGAGAAGGGAGAGCTGATGATATGAGGTTGTGCCTACTGAGCACGGAGGGAGTGGACCATGACCTTTACTGCTAGATGAGGAAGCATTTGGAATATGGAACACAGCACTGTGTTCTTCCCACACTCTCCCAGCTGAAGGTAAACTGGCTGTGTTGGGACTGGAGTGAGCATGGGGCTTGAGGATAAATGAGGAAGCATTCTAGGCCCTTCATTAAGAACTTCCAGGGATGTGTTTGACGAACTTTGTACTAAACAGTTCTTGGTAGATTCAATATGTTAGAATGACAATATAGAAAGGCACCAGAAGCTTTTAGGAATGAAGAATTGAGAGAAGACATACACAGTTCAGTGTTAGAGGAGGGGAAACTGAGTTATAGAAACCAGCTGTAATGCCGCCATGATTCCTTGGCAGTAGGTAATGTAACTCAGCAGTGTGTATTGAAATTGTACTGAGGGGAAAAAAATTCCATTGGGAAAAACAAAAAGGCCTTGTGAGATGGCTCAGCAGGAAAAGAGCATTTGCTGCTCTTCCAGGACCTAAGTTCAGTTCTCTGCACCCACACCAGACAACTTACAACCTGCAGTTCCAGCTCCAGGGGTCCTGACACATTCTTCTGGTCTCTGAGGGCACTCCCTTCAACAGACACACAAATAATAATATAAGCCTGTAAAATCTTTTATGAAATAATTTGCTAGATAAATAATTTAAAGAATCCGGGTTCAGGTGGTCTTCGTGATAGCACAAAGTCTGAGGAGTTAGGAGACTCCTTTAAGCCTCTTTGCTTATCCCTTGCACAGAATCAGACATCAAACTCCAGATGAACTTCTGTCCTCTAAGGACAGTTCCTTTCCTTCTGTTTAGGGTGGGGACAGCTGAGACTGTGTCTGTGTGTCAGTTTATAAATGTTGTCTTCAGGGATTGCTTATTTTAATTTTGACTAGGAGCCCCATAGTTCTGAAGTAGCTTTAAATTTGAGGTTCTAACTCTGCTAATATTAAGCAATGATTACCATAAAGAAAGACTGGGTACTTGCAAACATTTTTTCCCTCTTGTTTAAAAAAAATAAAATTTAACTTAAGAATGGTTGCCATAGATATGAGGGCATTGACTAACTTCCTGGCATTAAAATGTGCGTGTATCTTCTCCGACTTATGTAATGCTCTCTGAAAAAGAAGGGGCTGTAGATTCTCCTGTCCCTCTATGTGTATTTATACATGTGTAAGAATATATGTACTTTAAAAGACGGAAATAAAAACCTATGCTTCAAACATAAAATGTCTATAACAAAATATCACATTTCTTTAGGCTGTTTTTCCACTTGGAGTATTTGAGTTTAGACAAACGGCTTTTGCCCGTTTCTTTCTTTCTCTCTTTCTTTTCTTCTTTCTATTCTTTCTTTGTCTTTTTTTTATAAGCTGGCACATTCTTGTTCAATGAAAACAAGGGAGCAAGGGATTATTCTAGCCATTGAAATAGAAATAGTGTGTGATTCTGACAGCTGGAGCTTGGGTGTGAGATATTGCAATTTTTGCTGTAGGGAGAGGAGATAAATTGAGGGTTTAAATTTCATAGCATACGGGGCTACCTAAATAGCAGCTGTTAGGTATGAAATCCCTGGTGAAGATTAGTGCTTGGTAGGGGCTAGGTCTTCCCAAGCTCAGAAAGTTGGAAGTGAGTGTCAGGGAATCACAGTGTTTCATTGGAAGAGGAATCCCCCCCTCTCCCCGCTTTCCAACTCTTGGCAATTGCTTTCTGGGCTTACAGTTATGCATTCATAAATTCTCTTCACTCGACTACACTAAAAATACCTACAATCTTAAAGTTTTCATTTTGAAGGAGCTGAATAATGTACCCAGATTACGTGACATGGTACATATCATGAAACTGCTGAAATTGTTAATAATATTTCAGGGGATTTGATTCTGCATTACGAAAGGACAGTTGCAGCAGGTTGGACTTCTAGGAGATCATCAAGTAATGGCTCTCTGGACTGAATTTAGTAGATATGCTTTATGCATTTGTTACTGCTTCTTATTGCCCATGTCTTAATCTACTGTCCCTCCTACATGTTAGGTCCTACCAACACACTTCCTGTTTTCTCTTCCCTCCTTATATTCCCTTGTGTACTATAGTCAGGATGTAGTTCTTCCAATCCCTCAAACACGATTTGCTTCTGGGACTTCAAAAGCCATAGAAAATATAGAAGTTTATTAAGTTCCTACTCTGACTCGCTCTCCCCTTTTCTTCAGTTTGAGGATTGCAAACAGTTTTGTGTGGTGCATACAGTGGTGATTGTGGTGGGCTGCTGATCACAGCTGCCCAGTTGCAAGTCGAAATTAATCATTTCAGAGTTCTGTGCTGTCCATGAACCTGCATCCATGACAAAATATTTAAGAAAAACTGCTTGAAGGAGAAAGAATTTAACTTGGTTCACAGTGTCAGATGGCTCTGTCCATGGTTCACTGTTTTGCTTTGTTTTGTGCCTACAGCAAAGCAAAGTCTCTCTCTCTCTCTCTCTCTCTCTCTCTCTCACACACACACACACACACACACACACACACACACACACACACACACGGAGGCCAACTTCAACTTCACAATAGTCAGAAAAGGGTGGGGAACCAAAGGAAAGGAGGTGCTGGGGCTCTGAGGCTAAGCTGCCCTCAGTGATGTACTACATCCAACAGAGTCTCACTTTTTAAAATTTTCACAGCCTCACAATAGCCAGCTATGACTGACTATTGATAAAGTCAGAGCCTTAAGGATCCAAAAATACAACTTCTCAAAGCCTCCATCTCTGAATGCTACTGCATTAGGGACCAAATCTTCAGCCCATGAGTCTGTAAGAGATATTGAAATTAGAACTATAATAACAGAATCTTCTTAAAATTGTTGAGGATTTCTGAAGAAATCATTTGATTTTATAAATCAAAATATTTAGGATGGTAGAATGATAAAGGAATCATAGAGAATGTTTAATTTATAACTATCAGCAATGAATTTTTTCATGCTAACTGAAACATCATACATTATGCAAATAAATATTTTAAGATAAAAATTTACTATTTAAAAATTAGAATGTTTGAATTGTCGTTCTGATATTAACTGTATGATTTTAATTCTTTTAAATTATTTGGGGCATGCTTATGATCTAGTATATTTTCTGTTCTGTATAATAAAAACCTTATGTGTTTTAAAGTGACCTATCCAAACTTGGCAGTACTAAACACCAGAGCAAGTACCCTGGGGTATGTCTTTTTAACCTGCTCAAAGTAAAGGAAGAAAGGAAGATTTTTGATGAGGGGACATGAATGAGAGGAAGACTTCAAGGAAATCCAAGACAAAGCCAGAAGTCAATATAGACTTTCAGGGTCCTAACATATTTAGAATATTTCCAGAAGGGTGGTGAAAATAAAGAAGAGGTTCTTGAGTAGGTGATGGACATAGCCCAAATTTTGTGCTAATGAGGCAACTTTTCTATGATCCTTTTTGGGCGCTTTGCAGTCTTTAGTTTCATTATTTTTCTCACTGACTTTTTTTTTAATGCAGCACATTTCTTTTGCATGTTAAAATAGTAGGAGTTGCCAGCTATGGCTTGAACTTAAGTAGCTAGAAATCCCACACCTGTGCAAAAGGGTTTTATTGATGCCTTCACAGCGTTTTCATATTCATTTATGGAAATCCTCTTTAAGAAAATACTTAGAAAACAAGCTGCAGTACATAGACTACCTTACAACACAGAAATAATTATTTGCCAAGTGCTGGTTTATTTATGAAGAATGCAAATCGTCTTCCCCCTCGTGTCTGCATTGATAAGACCAGAAGACCAATCCTGAAACAGGTTGTTGGCAACTAGAAAGAAACCTAATGTTACTGCTGTGAGCTATCACAACATTAGCTTCTGTACTTCGGGGGTCTGTTACAGACTGAAAGCATCCTTTTTACCTCAAACCTCCACTCAAGAGTAAGCAGGCTTGACTTGGGCTTAGCTAGGATGGTCTAGACAAATAAGTACTTAATCAATTTTATCAACTATTCAATTTGTTTATTTTGAATTGAGATCATTCTATCAGTAGCTTAAAGAAAGAACTTTTAATTTATTTCTGGAAAAGTTGAGGACGTTTTCTAACCTTCAGCTATCTCCTTTCATTATAGAGGTTTAGAATGGTTAATGGCTGTCTTTGGTAATCCACCTCTTGCATGATGCCTGGATTTCATATTTAAGTACAATTATATTAGAGAACACAGATTAATTTGTTTTACATATTCAGAGCTAGAATTTTGGGGAAAATGCTATGCAAATTTATGTAAATTGGAATACATGTTTATGTAAAACAACATGTGATTATGCATCCCTAAATTTACAAGAAAAAAAAATTCTGCTAGTCTTCTCTTAAAAAGTAGGGAAAATACAAATATACTCCCAATCCCAGTTTGGACCAGGCTTCTTCTCGCATGGTTTGTCTGGCATGTGGAAAGGCTCTTCCGTGCCATGGCACTGGGTGAGGATTCTGTATTTCCTTTGCTGAAACACGGTTTTCAGCTTAGTTCAGAGGAGGCTGCCAAATTTGTCTCTCTTCTCTGCTTTCCCTCATTTTGGTGTTGAAATATCTTGACTTCCACTAATTCAGTAAGGTTTGGGAATTGTTACTTAATTTCATAAATAAACATAGTTTAGTTAAGGTCAATGCCACATCTGCCTTTTTTAAATGAACTGTACTAAGAGAGTGGCACATGCCCAAATATTTGGCATATATCCTCCAACCACCCGCTCTGATAAGTAAACAAATAGGATTACTCAGCCTTCTAGGGTGACAGAGCTAACATTTTGCATGAAAAAGCGCTCCTCTGAGAGTCAGTAGGGTACTGTTTGTTAATTTCTCCAGTTTTAAGATTTAAATCAGAATTTTTAATCACCTGAAGAATGGTACTATTTACTTATCTTGGCATTTGTCAAATTCGTAATAATTCCTCTATTGATTATTCCTGACTTTATGTTTACCTGAGAAACTCATATCCTTTACCAATAAGGTTATCTAGAATTCTTAAGAAAGAATATTGTCTTTACCTATCAAAAACAATTTTAACTATTAGTTGCCAAATTTATTTCCCAACTTACACGTTGCATTGTTATTCA